TGAAAGGAAGTGCACTTCAGTTTCACTCAAACACCACTCACTGGCATAGATGGCGCCAGCAGTCAACATACCAGTCCCTTTCACATCCATTTCCTCCCTCTCTCTCGGCAATTCATACGATTTATTCATTGGCTTTACTTTTAATCAAATATCGCTAAAAAACTAATTATAATTATAATTAAAAATCAATTTCAATATCACAAACATAAAGTTTCAATTGTTTTATTAACGTTTTATATTATAAACTTGTTAAACAAAAACTTTAATTAGAAAAATTGCGCTCAAATTGTTCACAAAATAGTTGTCATTAAATCGTTTAGAAATTTACAAATATATTTGATTTAATGATTATAAACAAATACTTACAATTCATATAAATTATCAGCTATTAGTTTGAGACTCTTTTAATATATTGACAATTTGTGGCAAAAGCGCTAACTTTTGTTTTACAAACTCTGGCAATGGATCGCTCTTTTTGTACCTAAATATCGGAACAAAATAATTAATTTCCGAGTTATTGGCGTAAAATAATTCATTTAATACACGAATACCTCATTTCGGATCCATTCTTGGGGTAAAAAATAACCGGAATCTCAGAATCACTTCTGAAACACAGAGTCGAGCCGTCGGTGAAACACACATTGAAAACACCGTTTGATAACTGATTGTGCGATAAATTCAACGAAATTAGCGCTAAAAACAAATCTCACTCTTGAAAGGCATACCTGAGAAGCCTCGCCGATGCCATTAATTTGAATGGACCTTAAGATACTCTGACTCGAGATAACGGGCTGTTGTGTCGACAGTGTTTGCATGGATTGGGAATCGGTTTTGATTTTACTTTTCCTGCCAAACGAAATGGGAAAGCAATCGATTCCAGTCCTGTCGCCACTGTTCTGGAACTCCTTCTCAGTCTTCAGACAAAACTCTCTCAACTCTTTCGCACGCTTATTGGACACCGTTTGACTCAATTGCTGGCAATCGTTGGCCAAAACTTTCTTACTCTCATTAGTCAACGCATGCATAACCGTCACTTCAAAGTCATTATTTTCCATTAAACACGCCTTCACTATGTATTCATCGCAATTATCGTCGTTTTTGCAATGAATGGTTATTTTGGGTGTCTTTGCGCTCACGAGTTGTACAAACTTTTGTGCGTAAAAATACTTTTTCCACTCGTTTTGCGGCAAATTATAAAAATTAAAAACTTTTGCCTTATTGTGGTGTCCAGTGATGCACACATTGAGCCCATCTCTGGACACTTGAATTGTTTGCATTTTCTTATGAAACCTCAAACACACGTTCCCCTCGCCATCGATGGCTAACTGCAAGTCTTTGGTTGTCTTATTAATGGGTAGTAATCGTCGTGTTGTGAGCGGACCCTCAATCAAAGGATGCCTCACTATATCGTCAATGAGTGGACGGTCGGTGGGGTTGGGCGCCAGTAGACGACAGATGAGATCGCAGGCGAACGGAGAAAATGTGGTCAAATCGAGCCCTCCTTTCGGCGTATATCCGGCAATACATGCGAACAGAACTGAACCCAAACTGAAGATATCACTCTTGGGCGACACGGTCTGCATCTGAGACCACACTTCCGGTGATATGAAGCCCGGAGTACCGCATATCGTGGTCCCCATCGGCAGTGGGATGACGTGCTCTTCTCTGTGCGGTTTGGACGACAAGTGCTGTGCGGACGAGGAGTTGAGATCAATGGCGAGACCAAAGTCGGCGATTTTTACCACTAAATCAGTGTTTTTATCGAAAGCTCTTAAAAGCAATATATTGTTGAGATTGAGGTCTCTGTGGACAATGGCGTTGCGGTGCAGATAATCCAACCCACGGCACAGTTGTCTCATTATATTGCGGATCAGTTTGTAGTCGAGTATGGGTTGCAGACAATTGTCTCGCGTCTTGTGACTCGCTTTCCACTGTTTGGCACTCGTGTGGATCAGTTGAGTGAGTGTTCCGCCGAAACAGAGCTCCAGAACTAAATACACATAACTCTTGTCTTCGATGACTTGAAACAACTGCAAGATATTGTCGTTTTTGAGCCGCAAATGAATGGACACTTCGGTCAAGATTTTGCCCAAATTTGGCGAACACTTCTTCTCAATGGATTTGATGGCACAGTATTTGCATTCCTCGGCGGCCGACCCGTCACTGTCATCGGCGGTGGGCTTATGGATGGCTTTGAACACCTGTCCGAAGGATCCCTTCCCGATGGAGCCCACCATCGAGTAGTCGCCGATCCGATGACTCCATGGGTTGGCGCTCATTGTCTGCGTGAGACACGTGTCCAGTCGGTGGGTGAACGACATCTTCAGAGGATCTAATCAGACATCCATTGAGGCAAAGATCGGATCAATTGGTGGTCTCTTTCACTCAAATTGAGCCCAAATTTCAAAACATGTCATCACATGACCACTCATTCATACATTACGTAACGCATAATGTCATCACTTTTTGTGCCCTTCAATGCATTTCCTATGGGACGGTCGTAACAGGTGTTGCCGTTGTATAACACGTTTGGCGCTCATATCCCATGTGTCTAATCACTCGGCGATTAGAGATAATCCGCGGATTAAAGTTAATAAAAAGTTTTCAAACAATTAACACAAATTAATAGCGAAATAATAGACTCAATGGTTGGCCAAAGTAGGCGATAAATACGGGCTGTAATAGGAGTGTATGACATACACATAGACTGTATGTGTTGTTTGATTGGGTCGACGCATGCGTGTAGGCGTCGATTAGATCGCAGTAATTGTTGACAGCAAACAGTTTCTGTGATTATTTGGCTGAAGATTGTTGAGTCAATTATCTGCGGACTCATTCATTGCACTCTTTGTTTGTGTAGTATTTCACGTCATTACAAGACGAGTGTTGATGACCACAACACCATCGGGGGTGCTATGAGACTCACGCCTACCATCGCTTGAGCCGAAGATTATCTCATTACCGAGCGATGAATGAAGAGACGGTCGACACGAACGCCAACTCGACCTCCAAGTCGACGGCTGGGCTGACATCGGCATCGGATCCGCTGGTGACTACAGCTGAGACGGTGTACGAGTTGGGCCGACAGCTGGACTCACCCACGCATGTGGTGTCCGAGAGGGTGCAGACACTGGCCGCTCAGATCTACACGGAGTTGCAGCGCATTATCAACCGCTGCAATGAGGACGAGGAGGTGGTGTCCGGACTGATGCCACTCGTGGTGAACGTGTTGGAGACGCTGGACATGGCGCTCATCGAGAACCAACAGTTTCAGGTGGAACTGGAGCTCTGTAAGGATGACAACGAACAGCTGGTGACCGCTTTCGAGAAGGAGAAGTTGCATAAGAAGAAAGTGGAACAAAGACTCTTCGAGTTTGAGTTCACCACCGATGAGGAGAAGCAACACTACCAGCAAAAGATCGACTCATTGGCTAATATCGTCAAAATGCTGGAACTGAAGGCCAAGAACTCCGCAGACCATTGTGTGTCTCATTGTCTTTGAGTGGTGGATGTGTTGATGCGGTCGTGACTAATGAGTGCTTTCTCTCTGTGTTTAGCGTTTCGTTTGGAGGAGAAGGAGACGGAGATGAAGAAGGAGTACAACAAACTGCACGACCGGTACAACGAAGTGCTCCGCAGTCACTGCGAGCTCATGGAAAGGGTGAAGATCCTGATCGGAACCGATGAGGGCGTGACGTCGCTCACCGCCGGCGCCAACAGTCTCACGAGTTTTAGTTTCAACAAAATGCAGACTAAGAGAAACGATTTGGAGGGCAGTGGCGAGGAAAGCAATTATAGCGAACATATGAGACGCGACTCCAGTAGTCCGACCCCTCGGCAGGCCTGGGCCGACACGGAGATGTCGCTCGACGACAACCCCCAGTCGATCATCGAAGAAGTGGATGATATTCCTCGCGAGCGCGACAGAGATTACCAGAGTTTGACCGGTAGTTATGCTTTTCACGCCTTCATATGTCTCTCTCTACTATCTGTGTTTGACTTTTCAATACTTTAAATCCTATTTAATCGCTACAAATAAGGCCAATACGTTCATCCGAGTGAATACGCGTCCACTGGTATGACTGCCTCTCAGTCCTACCCCTCTTTCACTTCCTTTTACTCTTTGACACAATTTTGTGGATTTAAATAATTGATATTTATTTCTATGTTTTTTATGTGGACTCCAATGCAGTTACGGATAACTTCTTCGGTGAGTGTTTTGAAGATTTAGGAAATGACTGTTTTATTGAAACAATTATTTTTTCGTTTCAATCCCAAAGGAATGGAGAAAGAGATCGAGAATTTGATTACAGAAAACAATGAGTTATTGGCGACAAAGAATGCCTTAAATATAGTGAAAGACGATTTGATTGCAAAAGTCGATGAATTGCAGAGCGAGCTAACGATGTGTACCAATGAAATACAACAGAGGGATGCCGTCAAAGAGAGGCTCAAGAGTCGCATCTCAGCGCTCGAGGAGGAGCTCAAGAAATGCAAAGACGACTTCGAGGACATGAAACAGAAATTGTCGGTTCAGAAGGAGGTATGCATTGCTGTGATTATCTATTTTGTGGATTTTGGTTAACCATTGAATTCCGTCTTAAGGACGAGGAAGAGAACGTTCCGATGGCTCAGAGGAAACGGTTCACGAGAGTAGAAATGGCGAGAGTTCTGATGGAAAGGAATCAATACAAAGAGAGGTTAATTGAGTTACAAGAAGCCATTCGGTGGTCGGAACTCATCAAAGCCACCAAAAGTGAGGGCGAGAAGAAGTCCGCCATTTGGAAGTTGTGAGTCAATCGTGTTTTATTGTTGCAGAGCTCTCTCTCTCTCTCTCTCTCTCTCCCTCTCTCTCTCTCTCTCTCACTCACTCACTCATTCACTCACTCACTCACTCATCTAAACTATACTTTTTTTAAATAAATTATTCGCTGCCAATAAGTGGACGCAATTGGACGGGAGGGTACAGTCCTTACTAACCATTACTTAATTGCTTTTATTTTTCCCCGATTTTGTAATTTGTATTAATGAATGAATTTTTATCCACATTTTGTCAATAGTTTTAGTAATCTCTTCAGTTCTCCGAGCGCTCCGCCGACCAGAGAGACGGCCGGTAGGGGTCAGGGGAGCGGATCGCCGGCCGTCCGATTCAGTTCAGCGAACCCTACGTCTGTGACGCCAGCCTTAGATGCGATGCGGAAGAGAGCGCGAGCGCACCAGACGGCCGGCGGCAACGATCTGCTACTCCTCATGGACTCGGACCTGAGTAGTGAACGATCCCGAGCTCTGCGCAGTGTTAGGGCTCACGTGAATCGCACGGGAAATGGAGACCGAATTCAGGCCTACGGTTGGAGTATTACAGGCGTCGGCGAGTCGGGCAATCAGTCCGACGAACGCATGGCGTCCAATGCAATCAAAGGCACGTCAGTTCCCGTTCCTATATATTGCCGGCCATTGAGTGGCGACGACATCGGAATGAAGATATGGTGCGCCTGTGCTGTGGATCTGACTGGTGGTGAGGCCGGCTTTCCCAACGATAAGAGTGACAAAGAGAGCGCTTTATCACCGGTTGAGTCTAATAAGCAAAACCCAGAAACCGGTGCTAAAGAGCCGAACACCGCTTTGGCGGACTTGGAGTCGGAGTTGACTCAAGCGATGAGCGAGCAATCGAGCCGTTCAGTGGACAGTCACTTATCGACGTTCGTATGGATCTGTAGTGTTAGTCATTCCAAAAGCAAAGTCACAATCGTTAACATCCGGAGCAATCCGGGAGAGGTTTTGGACTCTTTTAACGTCAAAACGCATCTCTTATGCATTTCATCCATTCCTGGCGCTAAAGTCAATGATATGCACGGCTCGGACGGCATCGACGCCGACGACAACGAGATTAAAGTAGTGGTGAAACAGGAGTCGCGACGAGAGAGCACTCAAAGCGATCATAAACTATACGATAGGAAGTCTGAATCAACCGAAACGAAAGCCTACGAATCGAAACAAACGGACGACACTTATAGTCGCGAGGGTCTGACGGCCGACTCGACGGCAAAAGGTCCCACTTTAGACAAACTGTCGGAATACGTGGCCTATACGGAGCCCCCGTCGCCCACCAGCACCGCCGATGACATCTCGACGTCGAGTAATGTGTTTCAGCCGATGTCGACCTGTTTGCCGACGATGTGGACGGGCGGTCAGAATGGTATGCTTTACGTGCACTCGAGTATCGCTCAGTGGTCTCATTGTATTGCGAGTATAAAGCTCTCGGACTCTGTGCTACAAATAGTGCACATTAAGGGCCGGGTATTCGTGGCCTTAGCTAACGGTCAGTGCTGTGTATTTGTTCGCTCGACAGTGACAGGGGAATGGGATTTCACACAATATTACACAATAGACATCGGAGTTGTAGCCAATTCTGCGATCAATAGTTCTTCCGATTCAACAAATTTAAAGTCTGCGCCCAATAGTGGCGGACAGTCGACGGCCACAAACCCCACGGCTTTGTATAGCATTCGGTGCATAGAGGCGGCGAAAGACATGATTTGGTTGGGGTATAGGAATCTGGTGTTTATACTGAACTCAAGCACTTTAAAAGTCGTCCATTGGTTCGCCGTTCACCCGCGGAAGGAGACTCAGGTGCGGCAGTTGACTGTCTTGGGGGACGGCGTTTGGGTGAGCCTACGACTGGACTCCACTCTCAAGCTCTACTCGAGCCTTAAGCCGTTCCAACACTTACAAGACGTCGACATCGAGCCCTACGTCTCGAAGATGCTGAGCCCTAAGGCGTTCAGTTTCATCCGGATTACGGCACTGAGAGCCAGTAATAACCGCATTTGGATCGGAACGGCCAACGGAGTGATTCTCAGCATCCCCTGCGGCGCTTCCAAGGAGGCGAACCCCTCGCAGAGTACGACAACTATCGTGTCGTCGACGGCCAGCGGAAGGCTATCGATGTCCACATTCGTACCCATTTGTAACCTAACGGCGACTCAGCTCTCATTTCACGGCCATAAGGATGCCGTCAAGTTCTTCGTGTGCACTAAGAACCTGATCCTGAGTGGCGGCGAAGGCTATATCGACTTTAGACTTAATGGCGACGACGACTCGGCCACCTCCCTGTCCAAAGGCGACAGGTCTCACCTCATTGTCTGGGAGTTGAGTCCGTAGACACACACACCACACACCGGCATAGGCTTCCGCTCCCGCACTCTAACAGCTAAAACTTGTACATCTAATATGACATTCAATTTTACTCAATGATTATTATAATATTTATTTTTATTTTCCAAATTTTCATTACCAAAAAAGTAATTTATTTCGCAAAACGTAAGGTTATGAGTATATTATGAGTATATATTTACGTTTTAGTAATTCTATCGTTAGTTTTAAGAGTTTTTTTTGTTGACTTGTTTATCGATTGATTATTATTTTCTTTTAATTAAATAAATGATTTTTGTTTGTTTTTTGAATTAAAATATATTTAAGACTATTTATATATTATTGTGTAATTATTAATACGAAATTTTGTTGACTTGTTTATCGATTGATTATTATTTTCTTTTAATTAAATAAATGATTTTTGTTTGTTTTTTGAATTAAAATATATTTAAGACTATTTATATATATGATTGTGTAATTATTAATACGAAATAACGCTTTAATGTTTATTGAAAATATAAATTGTTATGATATTGAAATAAATTCATAAATTTTTCACTGAAACTCATTGTGGATGTTTGATTCGGGGTAATTCACGTGTATTATACATGTGTTCAACATTTTGATTGAATTCACGGAATTAATAAGAGATTTGTTTGATACTACTAGTGATATTTTTACTAGAATATGTTATTTAACATTGATAATTTTTCTATATTGGCTTATCGTTTGATATTGTATTAAGCTTGTAATTTATTAAATGTTGTTATTATAGTGCAATTTTTAAATAAAAAATATTTATAAAAATAATATACCGACTTAATGTCTCATTGTGATGAATTATTTAGAAACTTTTATTGCAATCTTATAATCACATAATCTCTCTCTCTCTCTCATTTTCAATCACTCACTAAGTAACCCACTCACTCATTCACCCACCCACTCGCTCACTTGTTTTCATTTTATTAAGGATTTAAACTTTTAAAATTTCTTTATTTATTATTTAAATAAATTTAACAATTTTTAATAATAAAAGAATTTGAACATAAATTGAACAATTTTTTATTAATACTGTTTTTTAAATAATAATAATAACCGCCAGGTTTCCCCGGTTAATATTAAGAGGCCCTGACTACCTAATTGAATACTGTATTATAATTCTTTAAATTAAACTTAAATAACAAAATTAAATATCAATACAAAATGAAAGTGAACAATATTTAAAGTTTACCCGGTAATAAATTATTATATGTGTTCTTATAATAAATAATAATGTGGACATTCAAACAAAAATTTTAAATACTTTTCTAATCAATCATTGGTACCTAATGTATGGACAATAAATATTTGGCAATATATGGGTTCACAATATCACTGAACTTCTTGTGAGCCATATGTCCGCCCTTTTCGAAGGTTAAGACTTTGATCCAATTCTTGTCACCACTTTCTGCTATACTATTCACACCTTTATTATCATCGGACGAGAAGTGAACAAAGTCTCCCGGATTTGCCTTCAAATCCTTGACCACTGCCTCGAAATTACTTCTTAAGACGATTCGATCCCTGCGGCCGTAGGCCACAAGAGTCCTGATCTTATGGTCACTTAAATACTCTAATCTCTTGTGAAGTACAGACGGATCCATACGTCCGATAAGACACGCCAGTAGGACTTCATCGACATTGGCGTACGTCATGGGAAAAATGAATCGGTGAGCAATCAGATCAGGTCTTAAGATATCCATGAGTTTGATTCCAGTCCTCGTTTCGACAAATTTGGCCCAAAACGGGGCTAATCTGAAGAACAAATTCGACATCATATCAAAATGTATCGGTGCTAACAGACAAATAGATCCAACGGTGAGGTCTTCAGGTTGTGACCAAATGTCGGAAATGGGATAAATTCCAGCGGAATGACTGATCAGACAATCAATGGTCGAGACGTTTATGGCTTTCAAGAAGTCGCGTATGAATTGAGATCTTTCGTGGTTTGAGTGCCAGAAAGCCATCGACTGTCGCGTGAGTCTAAAGTCCGGCATATTTGGGACAATCACTCGAACGGTGATATCATTGTCATCGAAGTAGTCATACAAGTCTTGAAAGTGTTGGTAACAACCGGTGACACCATGGATGGCAACTATAGTCTTAATATGACTACTGCCTGAAAACTTTTTATCGCCTAAAGTGTCCACATATTCAACACTCACTGGCAGTCCATCGGGAGGACTGTTAGCATAAAGTTTTGGATTAATTGTCTTCAACTTCTCATACAATTGACCGCAAGTTTTGAATTCAACTCTTTTGATGATATTATCACTGAATGTCGAGAGATTCAACTTTTGCACACTTTTTGACCAAACATTCATTGGCGTCACAAATAATAATCTTTTTGCAAACATTTGGATTTGAATGTCAAATGTTCACAAGAGTCTACACAACAGTGTCTAAGAAATTGTCATTTATTATAGCCGTTAGGCTTAACTATATATTTAAAAATAAATTAATAGATTTTTGCATTAACTTTAGTTTGTGTGACTGATAGTTTAGTTTATTATTATTATTGTTAGCATTCCGGTTATAATTGACAATAATACAATATTTCGTGTTTTAAAATTTATTTATTTAAGAAATTTATTACTTAATAACTGTAAACTTAGTTATAATTAGAGTAGCAAAATAAAAGGTCTAATTGTTGCGCGATACCAATATTAATAGCGTTAAAAAGTTTAGTTTCGGTTTTCATTAAAAAATAGCTTGACCATATGTTTCTAATTTAGTGTTGAATGCAACCAAAAAAATTATATTTTTTGTACATAAAACCCAAGTCTTTAATACAGTCATAATGTTGATAAAAGTTGTTAAATCTTTGCATAATTTCGTATTAATAATTACACAATCATATATATAAATAGTCTTAAATATATTTTAATTCAAAAAACAAACAAAAATCATTTATTTAATTAAAAGAAAATAATAATCAATCGATAAACAAGTCAACAATGACCTGTTGCTAAAACGGTTGACGGCAGGAATGAAATTAAATTTTTATCGGCTTATAATCCTTTAGAGACTTATGAGATATGTTGTGCCCTTTAATTGTCCAATAAAATCAATTATGTAATTATTATCTATATCATTTTGGTTTTCTAATATATTCATTGATCACGTATAATGTTTGTATATGAAAGTAGAGTATTAATACAATTTAGAAAAACAATATATATTTTATAAACTTAATGGAAATCAGGCTTATTATTTAAAGATATAAATTTTATTAGTTATAGTTAGAGCTTAAACTATGTTACCTAATAGGAATTTGTTATTTTATGATATTTTATAAATAAACTTATACTATATAACTAATTATTAAATTAAATTAATAAATGTCACAAAATAAAAATAGATTTATATGAAAAAACATAGCATTAATTTGTTTACAGGTAATTATTTGAAGCTACTGTATTTGATTTTATTTACACAAATCATAAAATGGGAAATGTGTGTTAGAAGTGGGAATATGATCAATTTAATGTATGGTTATAAACAATGAGGAAACAGACAATACTTTCTAATTAATTGATCTGATATTGGATCTAAATAGCAAATAAAATACAATATAAATGGTACAATGTAATACTTAATGTCAAGAATTACTGTACAATACGTTATAATGTCAGTAATATATTTGAGTCCATAAAACAATATTAGTGGAGTAAAGCTCGATATCATATGCGAGACTGGGTTCGCAAAAAATTGCTTCAAAATAGTATTGAAGTGTTGGTTATATTTAGTGTATTTTCTAGTATTTTATCGACTCGTCTGACACAACAGAACTCTGTGTTCTATGCACTCAATGTATTCACTGCTGTGTTAGAGAGCAGTGAATATATGGTTATATTCTGTGCTCTAAGTCTGAGGTGATCTCCTACAGCATTACAGTCAATGCATTGCCACCAACAATGCAT